GTATCCTATACGAAATTGTCATATAGCATGACGTGCTTTTACCGATTTTGCCACAGAGAAGCATTTTGGTTAGCGTCATATAGCCTGAGAAAATCATGGAAAATTGTAGTTTAAAAACAGTAAAATCAACCTTTCTAACCAAAAGACTCCTCTGTGGCTCAGTTGTTAAAAGCACATCAGGCTATATGATGGTTCCGTATAGGATATAGGTTCGATTCCTGTTGGATGACACATATTTTCTATGACAATTTCTCGGACATTCAGGCCAGTAAATGTTGTTAATACTGTTTATTATAAACAGAGCATTTACTTAAATATTTGTATCTATAAAAAAAGAATGTATAAACATAACAATGTCTTAAAATTTTTGGTCTTGTATATAAATACTTGTCACAAAATAAAATGCTTACATTTGCCTTGATAAAATCCCTCAGAAGTCGAAATGTGTCTGCTAAGTTTTCCTTTTGTCTTTTTTCATAGTCCTTTTACAGATAAACTCTATCTGAAATTTTTATACACACACACACACACATATATATATATATATATATATATATATATATATATATATATATATATATATATATACAAACAAGTTTGATTAAAAAAGAACTGGTCTGTTTAATTTTTTTATTATATTTTTTAAGTTTTGAATAAGATGATGAGAATTATATTTGAAGTTGTGGATAAACTGTCTGAAGTTCATGTTTTGTTATATTTTTTTCAAGTACTTTCAACTTTCCAGTGATTTTCAAGAACCGATGTGGTGTCTGCATTATAGTTTTAACTCCTTTGTCTGCATCTTGGTATTCATTCGGACGCTGAACACTTAAAATGGTCTTACGTGATGTCATGTATAATTGCTTCTGGGAACAAGGCAGTACAAGAAGAATGCAATTTATTTATTTTATTTTAGCAATTAATAAATTTATTAACTCTTTATACTAATATAGTATGTGTGCACATCAATTATATCATATGCCCTTCAAGATAGCATCTCCTCTGGTAAATGATATCTTATTTAATGTGGGCTATTTATTTTGTGTAATAATAGCTTCTAGACTTTTGAGTTTTTCCTTGCAACTATAGTGCTATAGAATATTTTGGTGTTGTCGACTAATATATGTCTCATGTTGATAATGTCATTTTGGTCATTCATGATGTATTGATTGTTGTGTGCAAATATTGCTCTAAGTTTTGACAGGAGACAGGTTAATCTGCATGAGAGTGTGGTAGATATGTGCCCAATGTAAGTATTTAATGTTGTTTATTTGATTATTAGTGTTGGAGATACAATTCATAGACAACATTAGTTTTATATCCCAAGGTATTTATGAAGCCTGGTGTTATTGGTGATAATTAAGTTAGATCTAAACTTTTTATAATAGAGAACAAATCTTAGGTGTTTGCTAGGATTGTTGAGTGATATGTAAGAGGGAATTATGTTTTTAATTGCTTTTTTATCCTGCTTATAATTAGGGAGAATTTCGTTATGATAGAATAAGTTAATGGTGTATCTATTTTTGTTTGTATCAAGGAGGATGTCGTTTTTTCTAAATTTCTTTAAGGCTAATTTTATTTGTTTGTTGATAATGCAGTTAGGATTTTTGTGTTCCCAACAGCAGTTAGGATTTTTGTGTTCCCAACAGCAGTTACACATGATGTCACATTAGTTTGCTTCAAGTGTCCAGCATCCTAATGAAAACCAAGATACAAACAAAAGAGTTAAAACTACCACACAGACACTACATCAGTTCTTGATAATGACTGGAATATCAAAAGTACTTGAACAAAAATAACAAAATATGAACTTTGGACAGTTTATCCGCAACTTCAAACATAATACTCAACATCTTATCTGAAAGTTGGAAAAGTATAATAAAAAATTAAACAAGAGTGTGGGTTGCTTCGTTTTAATGTAGATCTACACACTCAACAAAATTACATTTCAAACTAGTCACAACACATTACATTGCATCTAGACATTAGTTCTGTTGTAATGCTATCGCATGGTATAACGTTATAGAACTTCATTTTGAACTGACGATCTGCATCTGCTATTCTCTGACTGTTAACGTCACATAGCAATCATCTGTCAAAATAACAAAATCTTATCTTTGACGGTGGATATCTTTGTTTCATGTCTGTATAACAACTCTGAGGATGGCTCATGCGAGAGGAAAGCGTAGGACTAACTTAATAAAAAAATATTCAAATGTTGGACAATTTTTGTCTTTATTTTCACCAGAAATTAAAGCAAACATACAAACATTAGAACAGCTGATGATCAGACACAATAGACATTCATTGTCTTTTTTATTTAATAATATATTATGTTTATATATATATATATATATATATTGCTGATATACCCTGAAGAGTGGATGGAGTGATTGTTGGAGGGCCTGTCTACCAAACTTTAGAGCCGGGATGCTGAAGGTAACACCAATCAGCTAAGTGAGAAATTTTATTTATATAAATGCTTTATATGGAGGAAATCTTTTCCAATAACAATGTTTAATGACTTCACTTTATCTAGCCAAGCTCCAGAAAATGACAATTCCCAATGCTAAATTTCATTATCTTGATATTCCTGTAAAGTGATCAGCTGGATTTTCTTACCAGCAAAGGATTTTTCACCAGAAATTCAAAATAATGGTAATTATAATAATTGCAGATGATTGCCTCAGAAAAAGGTACATCTTAGTCTTAGGTGATTGTCTTAATTAACCATATGGCATTTCTTTTGTATATTTAAAATATTTCTAGATATCTTTCTGTAAAGATAATTGGAATCTTGGACGCTCAATGTAAAAAAATCTTGAAATCTTGACGCTTAACATGAAACAGATGGTTAGATCATTATTTTCTGTGAACATGGACATTCTCTACAGGTAGCATATTGTTGGAAATCTTGGTTTTGCTCAATTTTACTGAATCTTATTTAGTTAAATCCGGGTTCAATTCTCCTTTGAACTGTTCTTAATTTCATTTTAATTTTTCTAAACATAAATTTTAGCATGTTTCATTTTTAAATTTCTTCAACCTACTCTCCTGAGAATTTTTATAATTATTAATTTAATTTTTAAGATTAATTAATTAATTTAATTTTTTAATTAATTTTATAATTATTTTTAATTAATTAGACAATTTAATTTAATTTTTTTTATTAATTAATTTAATTTTTATAATTATTAATTAATTAGACAATTTAATTTAATTTTTATAATTATTAATTAATTAGACAATTTAATTTAATTTTTATAATTATTAATTAATTAGACAATTTAATTTAATTTTTATAATTATTAATGCCCTGTTGCACAGAATATAGAGCTGATTTTTCAGTTTGTTTATTACAATTACTGTTCCGTAGACTACTGTAATGTATAAACATTTAGAAATGTTAAAAATTGTGCAAAAGATACATTAAAATTATCTGAAGCTGATTGATTCAAAATCATTATAGCATGCCTGAAATAAAATTAAAAAAAGGTTTTAAAATTGGAATTTTCAGACAGCCCTGTGTCCTTCCTCAATAAGAAAAAAAAATAAAAGTGGAATTTACTTTTCTAGGGAATTTGTTTTTTTTTCTCCATAATACTGAAGAGATGGAGAAAAAAAAACCCCAAAAAACAAAACAAATTTACTAGACAAGTAAATTTCACTTTTCATTTTTTTAATTTCTTTTCTCATTGATAAAAGACACAGGTGTGTCTGAAAATTTCAATTTTAAAATATTTCACATACATGCTTCCATTTGGTCAAAAGGCCTACTAATATGCAATAAATATTATTAGTTTTATTATCAACATTATTGTTATATAGGAATAAAATGTCACTGCTGACACTTGAGTTTGAACATAGATCGCCAGTGAACAAACACAGGTGATCCCATTATTGAATTAAGTAGACCATGTGACTATAGAGTAAATGCATATATAGAAAGTCATGTGATGTCTAGATTGATTTTTTTTCTAGTCTATCCTCTATACTATATGGATCACTATTTCTACTCTATCCTCTATTACTATACAGACCACTATTCTCTACTGTCTACACTATTCTCTATCTCAATCAATCCAGTGGTTAGTATTCGAGTGAGTATTATCAAGCAAGTACTATTAATGTGAAATTATTCAAAGGCGTCTGATACCAGCATTGTTCAATGGCATATTATAGTTGTATCTGTGATTACAAAGTCTCTACTACAATGAGCATTACAAAAATGATGAGTTTTTGTTGGCATTACAAAAGTGGCAATGAGTGTTCGTTGACATGACAAAAATTATATTCTTTGTTTTTTTTTTATCTAATTTTTCTCACAAACCTATTAAATCTAAAAATCTATCTGTCTCTCTATATATCACATTTCAGAAATATGATATATTCCTAACAAGCAAAGGTTGTTACAATTTTTTTTCTTTATATCTAGTAATGAAATAAATCTATTTTTTTTTTAATTTCTAATCATTACTTTTTCCAGAGTAAATCCTTAAACCTATTTTTGTTTACTTCATACACATAATGTCACTACATCAAAGTTTATCATTGGTAATATATTCTCAAGAATTTAAAGTAACTGAAGAGATATGAACAGAAACCACTTCTAGTTCTTTGAGCAACTCACCTGATTTCCGTGAATGTCAAGTTTGATCAGATTAACACAGTTATAGAAGGCAGAGATGTTTGTCAAGTGGTTATTTGGCAAACTGCAGACCAGTAAATTTGGGCACCAATCACCAATTTGTCCAACATTTCTTATATGAAGATTGCCCAAACAAAGCCCAAGCAATTGGTCCATTTCTTTCTTGCCATCTTCTTCATTCTGGCAATTCTGCTGCAAGAATTCAAATGTTATATCCACAAAGAAACCAGATTTGGTAACTTGTTGAATAATTGCAGGCTGTTTGGCGGGAATCTTGTAAAGTTTGTGTTTTCTGGACATAGCTCTCTGGAAGTTTCTATCAGTAGAAACCTCCTAAAAAATAAATGAAAAACTCATAACAGCAAGTTTTGAAAAGTGAAAATTGATGTACACTATTTACATTATTTGGACTATTGTCCTCATCTTTGTCGCCATATTTATTACAATGTTTCGCCGTTGTACACGCAAGCCTTCTTCAGGTGGTTGGAATGTTGACAGATACTGAAAATTGATGGAATAATTTTTCAGTAATAAATATAATATATAGAAATGTGCAAAAGTGGACATGATCAGAGAGGTTAATCATAAAACTATTGAATTTTATTTAATAAATGACACAGATGTCTCTGTTTCAAGGATAAATGTCCTGTTTAAGGCAATTGTGAAAACTGAAAAGAAACACAATCAAGTGTAATAAATATTTCTGCATGGCAGACATCTACACTCATTACACATAGATGTGTAGAAAATATAGTGGCAGCAGTTAAACTGATTTTGAGTTATAGTGAGTTTTTACTATGGCACAAATGATTGGCTGTAGAAAAAATACTGTAGTGGAAATGAAATGCAGAGCAGCCAATAGCAACTGAAACCGGTATCTGCCCTTGTTGGTCAAAGAGACAATGTTTAGTGTGCTGTCTCTGCAGAAAAACAGCACATGGCTGCTATGCCAGAACAGAGCTGGTGTGAACCCTGGGATGTCTGCTTATGAAGAAAGAAAGTGTTTACCAGCTTCCTCATGAGATAGTCAGGATGGTGTTAGCTATACAAATGATTCATTTTGCTAGCCAACCATTAAAGTTTTAAGCTCCATAAAAGCAGGCACGTTTTCTGGCAAGATGCAAACTCTGGCAGTACTTGTACTGCTCATGCTGTTATCATCTCCCAGTTGTGTCTCTGCATTTGGGCAGAGTGCAACTGAAAAAATATTGTGAGGTGCCTGATCCCAAGGAACAGCTGCCTGAGGCATACCCCTCGTTACACTAGAGAGGGTGATTGGTAGCCATACTGATGCCAGCACAAAAAAAAAAGAAAAGCCATGCCTTCAAAAAGAAACTTACTCTTCTCTTTTCCTTCACCTAAGCAAAGGGTAACATTTCCTAACAGGAAGCACACTCTTCAGATAGTCAGCAAGTTGTACTTTTCTTTGTGTAGAAATAGAGATATTTGAATTCCGACTCTGTTGTTAATGAAGAGCCTACCTTTTCTGCATCCAAACTTTTATTCTTTAGTTCCACAAGTTCACAGCTAATAACTGCCATATCATGCACATTGTAGCAAACAAACCTCATTCCTTTCATATTTTATTGCTGAAATATATATGCTACTCAAGTATCTTCTTCCCATCAACAGCTGCTTTGTGGAACTGACTCCCAAGAGGATGCTTCCCTGATCATTACAATCTTGGTCTGCTCAAGTCCAGGGTCAACTATGTCCCCTACATATCCCCATAAACTGTACCTCTTACTCTGTAACCCTCTAGTTCGAGTGGCTCTTGGGCCTTGTACAGGGTGAACAACATTGTAAAAAAAATTCCTATTTTATGAAATAAAATAAGAATAAAGTTTCAACCTGTTATGCATTTGCTTTTGTTTTGCATTTTTTGTTGAAAACATATTGAGTGGTATAGATATCGTCTTGGTAGATAAACATACCGCTCCAGAGTGAAAGAAACATTTGACTTGGGCAACAGTTCAGTAGCAATGATTGTCTATACCGGGAGTCATCAAAGTAGTTGATATCAACCTCTGGGGGTCAACAGGACTATCCAGGAAATCAATAAATGCCTGGCCTGACAAAAAGGGGTTGATAAATATCTAGACTGACAAAAGGGGGTTAGTAGATAAAATAGTATTAGAATTCACCAATTTTCAACCAAACATCAGTGCCCTTGGTACTGCTCATCAAACACATCCTTCCCATTACTGGTGTCAACCAGTTCAATAAAAAGGCATATTGATTTATTTTTAATGTCTTTATTATTACCTACATTCTTAATTCCTTTTATTTTATTTTTCCTCTCTCCTTAACACTTTGACCTCTGTGTTCCTGAATAATTTTAACCTTTCTCCCTGAGCTCCTGAGTCAACATTCGCAAATTATTGATATGTACGGTAGATATAAAAATAGTTACAAATGTTTACCCACCGTTCAACTGGTGGTTGGGCATTAAGTCATTTTTCTCTACCTCTGTCCAACTTGTGGCTGGGCATTGAGTCATTTTTCTCTACCTCTGTTCAACTGGTGGCTGGGCATTGAGTCATTTTTCTCTACCTCTGTTCAACTGGTGGCTGGGCATTATGTCATTTTTCTCTACCTCTGTCCAACTGGTGGCTGGGCATTAAGTCATTTTTCTCTACCTCTGTCCAACTTGTGGCTGGGCATTGAGTCATTTTTCTCTACCTCTGTTCAACTGGTGGCTGGACATTACGTCATTTTTCTCTACCTTTGTCCAACTGGTGGCTGGACATTACATTATTTTTTTCTACCGCCAGTAAAACGGTGGTCAGGGCTCAAAAAGTTAATAATGTTTTTCTTTTTCTTTTTCTTATATTCTTTCACACTCAGTAACCTGCTGTAGCTTTGATGCTTTGCTTGAGGTGAATTGATTGAAAAAAGAAAGTTTGGTGATAAAAATACAACAGTGATTATCATTTCATTTTTTTATTCATTGTTTTGGTACAAGACTTTGATGACGTGTTACTCCCAAGTTTGGGGAATTTAAATAAATAGATTGATCTGTCATGTTATCTAGTATTTTCTGGACATATCACATACTCTCAAAATCACTCCACAAACAAAAACAAATAAAAAAACGACCTTGTTTTCTATTAATTTTGTTTTTGTTTTTTGTTGTAGTGAAGCCTTTTTTTTTGAGGAAGCCATGTTGTGCTTTAAGTTCCTAGAACTTTGAGATAGCACATTGTAATGAAAGAACATTTTTATTTATTCATTTAATAAAATCCTACCTGTGATATTATGGGTTACATAAACGTTTAACATAATTCATATTATATTGGCGAGTGATTTTACAAGATATCAACCCTTATTGAGTTATTTAATGTTGAATTTTGAATGGGACACCCAGTGAGGATCGAAATCACTCCTTAGTAGTAATAGCATGGTGGAGTAATGGATAGTGGCTCGGATTGCGGAATTGGAGAGCTGATTTCTAATTCCAGTTGAATCCATTACATTCACTTACGTGCTAATGCCCTTGGGAAAGGTATGAATCCTCTTCTCCCCCCAGCTATGTGTAAATAGCAAGACAGACTGAGTTCTATAGCCTTGGATGGCAACTGGTCTACCACAGAAAGAAATGGTAACCTACTGCAGGAAAAAATCTGCCTCGTCAGTCATATATCGAAAGATACATGATCGCCTAAGTGTGTATCACGCATGGCACATAACTGACTGGCTGTAGTAATGGTTTGAGGATTTTATAGACTAGACATGTCTGTTGCGAGAGTTTATTTATATTAAAATTTAAAATTCAGAAATGTCCTAAATAAGTAAAAAAAAAAAAAAAAAAAAACCCTCCAAAAACAAATTGAATATTATTATTTTGACTATTTTAATCTGTATTTTATATTAAAAATGAAATAAAAAAAATCATAAAAACAGAATTGTAAAATTTAAATTTAAATTATTAGCGTAATTAATTTTTACCTGTGGTAATTTTACCTGCTGACACTGGCGTTGTTTTCCGGTTAAATAACAGTGGACAACTTATTTTTTAAAAGTGTTTGTTTATTTTGAAACAAACATTAAGAAGTTTGAAAATCGCTGGTAAAAAACCAAAACAAAACAATTCTTTTGTCGGGCATAACTTTTGTTATGTTGTTTAGTTTATGTTACCAACGGCAACAAACGAGTTTTTTTTTTGCTTTTTAGTTGTTGACATTTAACGTTTAAGAAAATAACGAATTCTAAATCAAATAAGTTGATTTTAATTTTTAGTGTCCGTAGGTAATTTTTTGTCTAATATTTTTCTTTTTCTTTCTTTTTTGTAGTCCTTCCGTTATATTTTCCATTTTTATTCATCGATTTAAAAAAAAAATCAGCTTTGAAAAACTACAACTGACAACTCCATTTGACCTGAAAAAAAGTGATTTCTTTTTGTAACACTGTCAACAAAGGTTATTTCTTTAAAATTATGTTTGCTTTACTTAGTGTAGAAGAACTTGAATCATTTTTTTTTAGTAATTTATTGGTTCATTGATTTAAAAAAAAAATATAAAAAATAAATGAAATTGAGAATAATTTCGTTTAAATTAAAAAAGCTACAATTTTTTTTCCGTTTTTTTTTTGACGGAACGAATTAAGACTAGTGATATGATGCCTTTTTTTTCCTTTTATTTTTAATTAATTTTATGGATGAAAAAACGTCTGAGATAATTTTATTGTTTTTTAAAATTTTTATGTTATGTTTTTTTAAAAAAATCCTCAAAAATCTATATTTCATGACATTTCACAATAACTTTTTAAGGAAAAGTAAAAAGAATATAAATGATCAAATCATGTGTTTCTTTCTAAAAAATATTTAAACGAGTCAAAGTAGTTTTTATTTTTCAATTATCTAAAACTAGAAGTTCTCAATTCGCCAAGTGACCACAAAATGGAAACTTTTTTCAGCTATCACCGGTTATCCTTGTTAATAATAAAACGGTAACAAAGGATAAACAGTCCCGTCAAAAACAAATATCCGAGTCACTTTGCTTAGATTCCGGATAGAGTCATTGAAGAATCTCTTTTAAAAAAATGGAAAAGGCCATTATTGCGCATTTTCACTTTCATCGGCTTACATAAATTGCTGATTAAAAATATTTTGTAAGAAAACATAACATGTATATATTTATTTAGTTTGTTTTTGTTTTTTTAAATAAAAATACTTTTTTGTTGTAGGATGCAGTAGTAGATGAACTTCGGTGTAGAATAATGATTTTTCAAGCTAATTTTACAAACTGTTGTTTTTCAATTAGATTTTATTTTTAACCGAGTGTCACTCAACAGGACAAATCAAATGTAAACTTTGAAATAAAAAAAAAAAAATGTGAATCCAAGGGAAACAACTCTGTTCTTCCGGTGAAACTCATTCGCAACATGGCGACTTTATGTCGAATTGTTCCTCGCTTTTTTCAATTTAGTGCTAACAGGACTACATTAAAATTTTTTGAAGCCGCTACGGTCGGCCAGAGATCAACTTCAACATTTCGTCGAGCCCAGCCCACAGACAGGGCTGCCGCTTATCATCACGAATATCCGGAACATTTACCCGAACCAGAACCCGGACCCGAGTATCCCGGTTATACGGTGAGCTACAAAGAGTTCAAGTACGTGGAAAAACTTCTACCCAAGGCCACTGTTCCTCCTCCTCCACCAAATACCCGGGATGGCCGACCTACACCGTCCGGGTGGATATCTCCCAAACCTGAATCTGTACAACTGCCTTATTTCGTGCATCGTACTAAGAACTACATGCTTCCGCTCTATTTGTCGGTGAAGAATGGTCAGACTAGGATCCTGACTAAAATACGAAAAGTAGACGGAGATATTTGGAAATTGGAAGCGGACTTGAAAAAATATTTAGAAGAGAATTGGCAGCCTCAAATCAAGACTCAGGTTCATGAAGTGTCGTCTCACATTGTAATCAAAGGAGATTGTTGTGAACATGTCTGTAAGTTTTTACTGAGTAAAGGTTTCTAAGTTTAGTTTGGAATATAAAGCTAAAATAATAATAATAATAAAATAATTCATACAAAAAAGAACATTTTTGTACTAAACTTCGTTGGCCTAAGTTGTTCAAAAACAGATTTGACGATGTTTATTTATGTTTGAACTTAAATAACAAGAAAAAAAAAAAAGGGTCAATTTTGTTTTTTGTTTTGTGGCAAACGATTTTTGTTTGATCAACTTCCGAAATATTGTTTTGTAAATAAATAAATAGTCACGACTCTCAGGATTCTATTTGCTTTTTCTCCACTAATCAGTTTTTTCCTTCTTTTGTATACAGATACGTTATTTCTTTATCAGTGACGCTTTTTTAAAATTCCTCAAATTGGCTGAACTGAACAATACAAGAAGCAGCCATGATTTTAGAAGGGAAACACAACGAAAGCATTACTTTTAGTTTTATTTATTTATTTTTTTTTATTATTATTCTTCTTGTCTTAAACACTGTGGAGTAACGTAACGGATTTTTAGGACAGAGAGCCTAGTTTAAATTCCATTCGAGTTTGTTATATTCACTTACCTGCATACCTTGCATATACCCGTAGGAAAGGTATGGGAGAGATATGGACAGATTGGGTCCTATAGCCTTGGGTGTGGCAACTGGTCTAATTCTGAATGCAACACCTCCTTACTGGTTATTGGACCAGACACGGTTACAGGAATACATGGTCAATCAAGGAGGGGTTCCCCCAAGGAGTGAGTGAAAATGTTTGTTATTATTAATAGGAAAGACCAATAAAGTATTTTTTTTATTATTTTATTAAGTTTTTGAATCCTTTCTAGTGCGTTCCAAATTTTTATTAAAAAAATCTTTTTTTCTTTTTTTGCGTCAGCCTATTGGTATTCCGGCGCATTTTTCCGGTAAAAAAAAAGAAAAAGAAAAGAAAGTCTCTCTATATTTCTGAGATAAGGTATTATGTACATTATTTACATTATTCGGACTATTGTCCTCATTTTTGTCACCATATTTATCACAAAATGGATGTCAGTTATCTCCTGTTAATTTCCCTCTGAAATTTCCTCAAGGACACATGGCACAGTGGATAAAGGCGTTGGTTAGATCTAGTGACAGGACCCAAAGAGAGTGAGTTCAATACCCGGTTAAGGCAGTGGAGAACTTTCAGAGGGAAATTAACAGGAGATAACTGATAACTAACATCCATCAAACATGGCATGTGGAACTAGAATAGTCTACCCCAGTGAGCGAAATAAAGGGTTCAGTTCGACATTCCAACCGGCCAAAACGTTGTGATAAATAAGGTCTACAAAGATGAGGACAATAGTCCGAATAATAAAAAAAAAAAAAAAGATTTGAAAATTCTTGCAAAATTCAAATAATTGTTAGATTTTTTTAATGAAACTTTCAGGACTTATTCACAAATGAAGGAAATTATTAATTAAAGTATATATCCATTTATTTTAAAATAAAGATAAATAATTATGAACCTAAAATGTTTTGTGTATGTGCTTCTGAAAAAAATCCTATGCACTAAAAAAACACTGAGAAAATTAAAATAAATATATACAGATATCAATGTTGTCATGTTTTCAAACTTGACATAAGTGACTTAGCCTAGGCCAATAACTGAAGTCTGGGACTGATTTGACACTCTGTATTTTTAGTATAAACAGGACCCTACTTTGAAATTGATAAGGAATTAATATTTTTTAAATTTTGAAAGTGTTGCAGTCTAAAGAATGCTCTTCTACAACAATTATTTCCTAAAAATTTTCATATTCTGTTTTTTTTTTTTTTTTTTATTTATTATTTTTGTTGTACATTCTCAAGAACAAAAAATGTATAAATTCACTTTCATCATATGTTTAGGTTTTATTCCAATTCTAATAATTGCTTTTTAAAACAAACATTGCCAAAGAGTGAAAGTAGTTAAAATAATAGTGGTGTCAAGGGAAAAACCGTCCTTCTGAAACACTTATGTTGGAGGCACAAATGTTAAAGATTGTCAAAGTTTTTTTTCCCCTCTGAATATGACCTGTTGAAATAGTATACATGTAGCATGCTGTCAAATGCACGGCACTGAAGAACAGCTGAATATCTTCAGAAATGTGTAAAACACTTGCTATTGTTAGTTAAGCTGGTTTCCTAATGTAGGTACCAAAAGATGTCAGTTATCAAGTTAGGTTTGAAACAAGCATCTTGGATATGATGCGTTTGGTGGAGGAGGGGCATATTTAACATTTGATAATTTTGCAGCAATACGCACTTAAAGGTTCTAGGCAGTTTTTCACAGTTAGCCATAAGGAATTGTAAATGTAGGACTACCTTACGCTTAAGTAAAATAATAACAATAATATTTATTAAGAATTTATTACAGGAAATATTAAGTTTTATGGAAACATTGTTGACATTTATATATTTAGTTACATAACAAATAAATAAATTTTGATGCTATATTTGATATGTTGTTGGGTATTTTTCATTTTCTTTGTTATTGGCAGCGTTTTAGAATACTTTGGCTGCAATGCTAAGTTTCCTAAGTTGAATAAATTAGAGCTATTTCATTTACGCTTTGTTACCTCCATTCCATTGTTGTTTTTAGGTCGTTTTCTTCCAGTCATTTTGATAGGCAATAGTGAAATTCAGAATGATCTTATTCCATTTCATAAATGATGACTAAAAAGCAATATTTTAAATTAATATATGATCAAAAATAAAATGCTTTTAACAAAAAAACCTTAATGATTCACTCTAGTTATGTAACAATAATGTAATGATATTCTGCAGATAAATCTACAATTTATGTTACCTCATCTCATTGCATAGTTATGAAGTATAGACCTAAATTGAGCTTGAAATATTGTGTAATTGGCTCTTTTTGTAAAATACTTGGATATTATCTAATGAATAATTTGCAGTGAAAAAAAAGCATCTTTTGATTTTTTTTATTGAATATGCCCCCTCCTCCAATGAATGCATCAGATATCCTGGTAGAATCTTTCACCTTGCTTATTGCATCCAAATAAAAAAAAGAAAAAGAAGTGAGATAATAATGCACGAAGTGTATTTTAAGATAATCCTACATCCGATTCTTTGATAAGCTGTTAGTGTGTTACTTATTGTCATAGTTTTTAGCACTTAGACCTAAGAAAATTATATACACCTAACACAAACAAATTTCATGCTGGAGGTCAAATGGATATGATTTACTATTAATATATTTATCTTGATCATAAATATGCTCTTGACGAATTTTGAGGAGAATTCTGAATATTGATTTTAAATCTGTATTCGATTTCCTCTTTCTACATTACATATTTGGATTTTTTTAAAATCATTTCATTCCGTGCAAGGTGAGAAAGCCACTAAGACGGAAGTAGTTACTGTGTGTCAAAGAATCTGAGAAAGAAAAAAAAATTAAGGACAGAGACCAATAACAGGAACTTAGGAGAAAGAAAATGTTCAGTCCATGGTATTATTCTCAGCCATCTTCTGTAGAACTACATTTCTGTTGCTTCAAGTCTCTTCATCTGTGAGGAGATTGTCCAGCATTCATTGCCATATAGGAGGATTAATAGTATAACAAAAACTGCGAAAGGGTGTATGTTCACAAAAGAAGAGAAAATGAAATAACACTATTGCAAATAAAAGTAAACGCTGGTCTTGTTTTCAATATTTTAGATTATATATTCACAGATTCAAATTGCATTGTCTGGTGCACGGGATTTGATGTGCAAAGGTAAGTGACATTTTGGACATCTTTGCTGCTACTTCTGTATTATCTCCTGACAGACCAGATCTTCCTTTTGGCTAGTGAGAATTCCATTTTTCTCTGACTATATATATCTCTTTCTCTTTTCTGTCACTGTATCTCCTATGAGCCCTCTGCTCATTTCTACATCACAATATATTACTTACCACCCCCTAAATGCTGGCTCGTAACTGACCTAACTGTGACTCTCTATATAATCCCACAACAGGAATTCACTAGCTTCCAGCCAAATTACAATTGATCCCAAAAGTTTTTATTTATTTACTCTATTTCATTTTGCCAACTTGTGGACAGCATGAGGTTGTTTTGAAGTCCTCCTATCTTGACTTTACTGTTGTCATAAAAACCAGGGCTAGATAAAATCACTTACCGTATAATTAACTTTTTGGGATGTTCTAGTCCATGGCCAAGCCCTATGATGTCACAATTTTACAATCCAGGAAATAGGTTCTGTCAACTTTTCATTTTCAGTTAAGTGTTTTCTGGGAAGTGGTTGAATTGCAACACTGAAGTTACTCACTGATTAGGTTTTGTAAATAATTTCTCTTTAAAGTTGAGAAAACTCATGAGTACAACAACAAATATTTGGAAAGCTATTAAAAAAAAAACAAAACAAGCAACCTTTCAATAACATTTATTTTCCCTTTTTCAAGAAAGTCAAAAATAAATAAATACAAATGAACAAAATCAACAAAGTTGATTCCTTCATATTTTATCCTCAAGGTATAACTTTTAATCGACCTTAATTACAATTGTTTTTGTTTGGGGTAGGGGTGGGGAGGACAGGGAAAGACAAGTGTGGTTATGGGTTCATCATTCTTTTCGTTCTTGAGGAAGCAATCAGATGAAACGCT